TGTTACTGGGATATCATTAGTAAACAAAGGGAAGAATAAGTATAGGACCAAGACCGTTTCTCTGTAGAACACCCGATTTAATTTCTTTTAGATTTGAGTAGCAGTCTTCTTGTTTAACTCGAAAATATCTATTTGTTATATAAGATTCTCTAAGATCACAATATTGTTCTGGCAATTGCATTCGTAATTTGCTCATAAGACCCACACCTTGTCAAATGCCTGCGAGGTATCAAGGAACACTGCCGAACACACTTCCTTCTTTTTCAAACAGTTTTCTATTATATTACTAATTCGATGGACTTGTTCAATTGTTAAGTGGCTGGTTCTAAAGCCGAATTAATGATTAGGAATTAAGTTTTGTTGTTTTATAGGATTTGATAGTCGCTTTTTAAATGCTTTTTCAAAAACCTTCGACAAAATGGGTAGCAAGGATATGGGTCTATATGAAGAAACTTCATCTGCAGGTTTGCCAGGTTTGGCTACCATTATTACTTCAGATACCTTCCAGAAGGAGGGTACGTGTCTCAGTTTGAGGCATGTGTTGTTAAGAAATGTCAGAACTTTGATGGCATTTTTTTTTTGGCAAGTTTTTTACAATCTCAGTTGTCAAGAGGTCAAATCCAGCAGCTTTTTTGAGTTTTAAAGACAATGATGTGTTTTATTTCCTGAGCAGAAGCTGGAGGTATGCTTATTTCGCTGTCTACTTTTATATTAGCCGAAATATTCTTTTCACCATTTTCTTTTGTAAAAGTACTTCTAAGATATTCCGAAAAGTGTTCTGCCTTCTGCTGATTGCTTTTTGCCCAATTATTTTTAAGTTTTAATGGCGAGGAGTGTGTCACTGGAGTGTGCAACACTGGTTTTTTGTTGCCTTCCAGAGTGAGTAGTGTGAATTCTCTTTGTACGATAAATTATCTAGAAATGTTTTGAAGGAGTCGTTTTTAAGATGTCTTTGAGTCAACCTTTTACAAACTTTATTGAACAGAGACTTATCTCCAGAAGATCTGGTCATTTGGCACTTCCGTCTAAGTTTGCGTTTTTCGGTAACTAATTGCTTGATTTCATTGGGATAGTTGCAGTCAGTACTGACCTGCTTTATAACGCGAGTACTATGTTTCAATTATTCCAACTAGGGATATTTTGTGTAAATTTTTTTATATCGCTTTCTAGGTGATGTTCAGCTTCTATGGCGATAACATGATTTATCATTAATTGATTCACAAGTGTTTTAAAAAGCTTCCAGCCGGTGAATTTTTAGCCAGAAAATACTATAGAACTGTAAATATTTAAAAAGATTGGGAAATGATTCGAGTTCAGATCAGCTCCATCCTTAATTACCATGAAGCTTTTAAAAACTTTTTGAAATAAAAATGTCAATAAGATCAGGTATCTTACTTGTATCTGTGGGCCAATAAGTAGTTTTTCTTATCGATATTGTTTCACAACCCGATTACTGAATAGCTTTTAGAAGTTCCGAACCCTTAGTCGTAATAAGTTTCGAACCCTAAAATGTATTTTTAGCATTAAAAATACATTCGCCACAAAGAATAAATTTCTCTCCAACAGCCTTTAACACTTTAATGTATTTTTCTTTGCCTATATTATGCCGCGGAGGGCTATATAAAGCAGAGTTCGGAATGTGGTGCACAAAATCGCACACTGCACTATGCGAGTGGAAATTATTTTTAAAATATGCACACGCACATTTGTGGTGTTAAGAAAAAAAATGCACGCACTCAAATTTGTTGTGCGATTTTAAATTTCACATCGCACAAAGCGATGATTGTGCACACAGATTCGTGCACACACATTTGTGCTGTGCGACTGATTTACAAAAATGTGCACAATCAGATGTGCGAGAAAATTTTATGCTCGCACCGCACTGTGCGACAAAAAATTCTCTCTGCACACGAGTGTGTTGCTCATATTACGTTTGCACAAATGTGCATAAATGTGCGATTGTACAAACGTGCACAAATGTGCGATTTTGCGTTTGCACCCAAGGGTGGTAAAAAATTACAGGAACTTCACAATTTTGTTTGAAATAGAAAATATTATTTTGTTGCAAATTTTGAAAAAATTGATATTTGCGTTCGTTGGGATCGTAACATATGTTAAAAATTGCATAAATTAACAAATATTTAAAATAATTATTTTTGTTAATTAATGTTAACTAAATATTATAACTGTCTTAACCTTATTTGTATTTTAACTTAAAATATTAGTTTTTTGTATATTACTTTGTGCATTTTTAAATGCAAATATAGTAAGTGAACTTAAAGTATTTGTTTGGAAAGTTTTGCACCAGTTTAAAAAAAATAAAAACATATTTTAGGAAGATTTTTTTATGCCCAAAAAATATGAAAGATTACGAAAGATTAGGAAAATATTTTTTTTTGAACAGGTAGCAGGTATTGGTATTGGTGTATTTGTTTAATAAATTTTGCAACAGTTTAAAAAAGATAATATGGGATGGTCACAAATAGATATTTTTCTTCTCCAGAAATATGTATTCACTTAGGTAGAGTTTCTAACATTCATTAGAAAACGCGAAAGATTAGGAAAATATTTTCTTGAATAGGTAGCAGGATTTTAGCGCCCTTTCTACTGTGCTAAATAAGCAGAGATATAATTTAAGTGAAAAAAATATTTCAGCAATGTTATTAATAAGATTAAATGAAAATTTATTTCAAAAAATATGTAATAAAAATTATATATTTTTTAATAAGAAATTAAGATATTAAATTATTTCAATAAATTCGTTAAATTTAAGCTGTAATTAAAGATAAAAAATTAAATGAAATCTAATAACAAAATTAATTTATGTTGTTGTAGAAACTTTTTAATTTGCTTTTTATAACCTTACTAACGAATCTTAGTGTACAACTTACTATTAAATAAAATTTTATGAAGTAGTCCAAAATTGATATATTTAATTTTTTCAAAGTACGATCCGAAGAACCGATCCTCTTTACTTATAACATTTCGAAACAAATACTCTTTCTCTATTAAATTCATGTACCTATTTAATATAACAAAGTTAATGTACTTAAAACATTGTGAAATTAACTTTATTCCCATGTTTTAAATTAATAAACCTTAAAATAATAAGTAATATAAGCAATAAATGTAAATCTAATAATAAATTCAAAATTAAAATATAAATACAAAATCATTTCTTCAATAAAATATTTCGCATTAAGACCAAAATTAATACAAATCAGTTTTCCGTACTATTTTGCTGCGATATTTGTGCGCTTTTAAATCATCATTTCACACAAATGTGCAGTAGACATTTCGTCTCCGCACATTTGGGTGCATTTTTATTTTCGAGTCTGCACACAAAATGTGCTCCTCGTATTCTTTTCTGCACACGTTGTGTGCGAGAGCAAGCTGGCTGCCGCACACACAATGTGCTGTGCGAAATAACTTCGGCACAAACACCGAATGCGTGTGCGAATTTTATTTCACTCCACCACATTCGTGTGAAATGTGCGTTTTGTTTGTGCACACAAGATGTGGCACTTAAGATGTGCACAAAAATTTTCGCACACCACATTTGTGGTGTGAAATTTTATTTAGAATCGCACAACATTTGTGCGTGGTGTTTTGCATTTTTGTGCACAGCACAGTGTTTTTTTGAACCCTGATATAAAGCCACTATCGTTAAAAGTTAGTGATCAGCTTCGATTTAAACTGAAACTATCTGGAGTTCAGGAGCTGTTAACTGAGTTCCTTGGGGATGTTTAATGTATCCTTATAGCTTTACCCACCGTGCGACTTTTTGTTGAATTGTTCTTGCTTATTTAATTTCTCCAAGATTAGCATAATGATTGCATTCTCAGACTTCAGATTTGTGTTTTCAGTTTTAGTTGTTTGTGCATTGGATTGCATTTTGGCTTCTGTTTGTGGACAGGATTCTGTGTACTCCATGTCTTTTACACTCTTGGCTGGAATGTCAACTTCATGCGTTCCGCTATTGGTTGGTTGCTTTTGGTTTCTTATAACCGAGCTTGTCTTATCTCGTAGCTTTTGCAACTGTTTTGCTACCACACATCCCCGATAGCTTGCTGAATAATTGTATCTCCTCAATTACAACATTTTGTCTAGGTTGTTTACCGCAGTAGTTTTTTGTGTGTGCAAAACCCAATTTTTACAATTGCAATTTTTACATTGCTGCGAAATTTTCAATTGTTTAACTGAATCTGCACCCATTATCGTATTTAAGATTTTTGATATTTTATAGAACAAAATTAAAAACATGTTTAACGGTTCTTTAGCTTTCCATTTTAGTTTATTTATCGCTGAAATTGCATTTAAGCTCTGCTTTTTTAAGTCTGAGACTACTGACTCCAAGTCCCACGTATGATGCAAATTTTTTATAATGACTTTAATCGGTCTTTTGGTGTCGGAAAGCATTTTTTGTTAAGATATGTTACTGACTTCAACATTAAACACGTTGACTTTGTAGACTCCGCTGCTAAGTAGTTTAACAGAGAATTGTTCTTTAACAATCTCAACCATCTTTGCTTACATCTCTCTATAATTATCAACATGCGATACCATTATAGGAGGAGGGCGAGGTGTACGCCAGCCTAAAATGCTAACAGTTATTGGGTGATTTTTTAATGATAACTGTTATGGTTCCTGTATGTCATATAATACATATTTTATATATTGCTTTCTTTTACACAAGTACTGTAGTCGTCCAATATATCGTATACCCAATTTAAAGAAAATATCCACAAATTTCTGTAATTGACTATTCCATATAACGAATACATAATTGGTATACTACAATTCTCAACAATTTAACAAATAATGAAGGAAAAAACTAACATACAAAAGATTTTCTTGCTGAAATATCTTCTAAATATCTGCAAAAATATTGTGAAACACTTAAAAACAGTTATTTAAAAAGTAAGTTTATAAATACAAAACCTGAACTACTGAAAACTTAGTTTTTTGTTTAACATATTTATTTGATTTTCCATTTTCAGTTAAAACTCAAAGCCAATAGCATGAATCATATTGAAAGCTCAGACATATTGGAAATATTATTAAAAATTATTTGTATCTTCAAATTATATGAAGCAAATGAAATTTTGCTCTCTTACATTGAAACACAACCTTTAGATGAACTTGTTAAATTTATTGGAACTTCCCTAATATATGGTATTTTTAATATATTTATGTGTATATTCTTGGACCTATATTAAATTAAACATTTAAAATTAGCTACAGAGATGCAATCTAACGAATTTGGGGATTGGAAATCTGTTGTTGAAGAATGCTTGACGTTTTTGGCTCTATTATGTTCAAGCAAATCGCATTATCAACGCGCGTTTATATATTTGTCTGAACATAACTTTAATATTAAATTAGATTTCGATGTTCTTACGTCACTGTTAAGGGTATGCACATTAAAAATTTATTTGATTATTCCAATTAATTTTAATTTACAGATTTTGTCCAATCAAAAAAATGTTGATTTTATGGTTGCAGAATGGTTAGTAGAAAAGTTGAAAGATTTGTTACAACATTACTACATGTCACAGGAACTTGTTGACAAAATTATTGGTTTTTTACCAGGTACTTATTTTAAATGCTATTTAAATAATAATAAAAATAAAAAAAAATTTTGTTGTTTAATGTATATATATTATTATTATTATAATTATATGCATTTTCTTAACTAAATAATGATGATTTTGCGGTCCTAAAAGCGAAAAAATTGTGTATAGTGGGAGCGGCTATGTGATTTCATTTTTATTAATATTAAATTTTTATTTTATTAAAAGCACATATAAATAGTGCTTATGGTCCTGATACTGTAATAGCTGATCATGCGCAATTTTCATTTCGTCGATTCCGTTCCGGTAATTTCAATGTTAAAGACCGAAATTTCGCACTGGGGGGCTAATTGTCGAAAATGTAGAAAAATAATGAAAATTGTTGAGTCCGACAATCATGTAATTCACCGACACTGTTTCGATTGCCCAAGAGCTAAAAAATGTACAAAAAAAAAATGGTTTGAAACCATTTGAGTAAAGCTAGATACAAAAAGAAGATGTATGGGTGCTACACGCGTTAACACAAAAAAACCCTTATGCACTGAATGCCCATCTGCGAATCATTACTGAATCGCAACGTGTAACGATTAAAATTTAATCAAATAAAAATTTAATCGTCACAACGCTGCGGGCACGGCTGACTACAGAAAATAATAATGAACACATTTCACAAAGGGAACACAAGCACAAATCACTTGAATATGTTAAATTAGAAGACACCTGTATCAAAAGTTATTAATTAACATTTAAAATAGTTAGAAAACCAACTCACAGAAATTCACCACCGTAGCAACAGAACTGGTGCACTTGAAATTTCCCGTAATTACATGAAAAATAATTTACTTACGTGTAAACTAATATATTTGAATAAAAGAATTATATAGGTACCGTGAGTTATTGTTTTGAATATTTTGTTGAAAATAAATAAAATAAACACTTTGACCGGCACATTTTGTTAAAAATAAAATCTAATATTCTACATCTCCTTAAACCGCTGATTAAAAATAATCGCTTCAACCTCGAAAATAGAAAGTTCTTATGTACTCAAATAATTATGCCAGCACTACTGTATGGATGTGTAACATATGGTACAGTAAAGCCTCAAACACTGCCATAAAGCAATTACAGATATCACAAAATCTGGCTTTAAGTGGCGAAGCTAGGATTGACTGCCATAAAGGTTTTGCTGGATTGGCAGGAAATCATCTACTATGAATTGCTCCCTTATGACCAACTCTACTCGAAACTGTACTATTAACAATTGGACCGTTTGAAGGAAACAACCGCTTAGAAACGGTCAGCTTTGAGCAATACGAAAGGAATTATGTTCCATTGGGACAACGCCAGGCCACAGATAACGATAATGATAAGGACTCACCAAAAGTACCGAAAACTTGGTTGGGAAGTTCTTATGCATCCACCTTATAGTCCAAACCTGGCACCAAGTGACTGTCATCTGTTCCTGCCCATGGTGAAGGACTTTTCTGGTAATAAATTCGCTTCAAGAAAGCTTGTGAAAATCGACTGTCTTAATTTCTTACCAATAGGGACGAGAACTTCTATAGGAGAGGCATAATGAAAGTAGCTTCAAAATTGCAACAAGTTATCGAACAAAACAGCGGAGATTTGACCTAAATCAGATCATTTTAATTGTGGTAAATGAGCCCTTAATTTCATGCAAAAATAATGGATTTCTTTTTACTTTTAATAGGTGAACTAGTTATTATTAGTTTTTAATGCTAAAAAATCACATCTTAAATTTCATATTATATTTTTTAAGCAAAAATTCTGTAAATTCCTATACGTTTAAGGTTGTTTAACAATGGTTTTATTATTTTCAGATGTTTTTACATATGTTCATAAATTTGATGTACTTGTACAAGATTTGTTAATTGCTCTTATGTCGCTTTTAAAAATCGCATATAAAAAATCATATTCTGTACCACTAAGTACAAAACTCGTGAAAATAGTTAAAGTGATTGCAGAAAAATCCACAAATTTAAATAAACAAAGCAGCGTTGTAAATATCTGTTTATCCACTGCAAAATTTTTACAACACCCATCGCTTAAAATACAGTTTGCAACAATTAACACTATAACAGCTTTAATGAATTCTAATTGGTCAAAAAATTTTAATAATAACTACGATCATTTTGATTTTTGTCAGAAACTATATTCATATATGGACTGGAAAAGTTTGCCGGTTTGTATACTTTCAGTATTTGTATAAAATAAAATATACATATTAAATTAAAACTTTATTTTAGATATCCACTGAAGATTTGATTCAGAATAGTAACTCAGTTTCGGTTCAAACACTTGTCGCTCTTTTATTATTTAGTGCTTATCATCAAGAAATTGCTTTTGAGGAATTGGCATATTTGTGCGCTTTGAGAAAATTAACTGAGGGTGGGTACGAATATTTAATAAATGATTGGTTATATTTTTTGTATGCTTTTAGTTGAGTTTTTGTTGCTGCAAAAAATATGTCTACATTATAATTGTAGTCTGGAGCAATTAACAAAATCTTATGTCACAAACTTAATACATACTTGGTTGTCCAAGCAGTACCATATATTAGAGTATGTTACAACTAATAAAATATGAATAATATTGTTAAAAAAAATTTTTTTAAATAGATTTCCTTACTTTTTATGTTATAAAAGCAGAGAAGAATTCATGCTCCAAAATGTAGCAACAATAGCTGCCGGGTTGTTAATATACGTCCCATTGCTAAAAACTGAGGACTTACCCAAAATTAATAATATTCCAAAAGATGAGTTTTTACAAGTAAGAATATGAATAGTATAAAAAATATAAACATTTTTATGTAATATCTGCAATCTTCTATATATAAGGTTTTAGGTTCTAATTTCAAAATGATTATTGTTAATTTTTATATTTTGTTCTATGCATAAATAAACTATTTACATTAATAACTAAAACTAAAATATGTACAACCGGCCATATTTGCGATATTGGCAATGTTGACCATGTTTTTCGATTGTATGAAGCGTCGAAATATCAAAAAAATTTTTTTTTTTACTTCTGATTGGGATATATCATTAAATTGTACATGATAATAAAAAGTATTAGGATGGCATTATTTTCAAAAGTATTGTTGAAAAACTTAATATAGCGGGTGTTACATCAAATGCTTTTGTGGTACTAAAAAACATCGCACATTCCACAATTATTCTCCAATTTAATGCTTATGACTTTTATATACATAAATTCATATATAAAAATTTATTTTTATAAGATCTATTGATAATAATTAAATATGATACACATATTAAAATAGTCAAAATAAAAACTAACAAATATGTTTTAATGGTATTATTTAATATTTACTTATTTCTACTTAAAATAAAAAACGTACATAAACACATTTGTTGTTCATATTGCAGCTAGTGTTTGTATGATATTTTACAATGATACTGTAGTGAAGGGTGGTTCGAAAAGCAAAAATTTTTTGTTTCGAAACACAAAAAGTTGCCTCTAATATAGAGTAGAAAACTGTAAGAAAATAATTGATTAAATCGATTATTTTTCAAAATAATTTTACAATTATTAGTACAAATACAATTAGTAAGGTTTAACTTTTCGTATTTAGTTTAGAGTTCAAAATATTAAAATAAAATAACAAACCACTGATATAATATTAACCTGTCGCCCAATATCAATGCAAAATTGATAAACCGCGCAATTTTCGCGTCTTTCTTCATATTTCAAAATGACGACATTTGCAAATTGTAACTGAAAATAAATGCAGTGCAAGTTAACACGTAATCAGCCACACTTCTATGTTTAAATAAAAATATCCGATGAATTATGTTTAAAAGCTCTCAGGTGAGAGTGTTGTAAAAAGCTCCCTCACATATGAAAGAGTTCAGTTCAATTTTGGCTCTGTAGTGTAAAACATATATTTAATAAAGAAATAAATAATTGATAATTGGTAATAAAATAATTGGCGCCCAACGTGGGGCTCGAATAAAAAAAGTTTAAGGGCAATAAATGTTAAATGTGGAAGTAATGCTGAACCAAAATTCAGCTCCAAACACACCGAAGTGAAAAAACACGTTTTGAGCAAATACTGCGTGCGGAAAAGCTTGTCTCAGCACGTTTTTTGTATTTTGTTAAACGCGATATTTAAATTATTAATAATTATAAAAGAAAACAACTAAGTCAATTTAAATTGAAAATGACTATAAATTAGTGGATTGATTTATTTTATAAAAATCCGAACAGAAATAAAAATTGTTGTACAGTGGGAACTGTCCACGAAGAAAGAAACATTTGCATTAACTTTACCTCTTTTTGCATTTTAAAACAACAAACAATTTTTTTATTACAAACAAAAAAGCATTGCAAACGTGCAGCTGAGAGGTGATTTAAAATAAAGACAAAAAATATTTAAAGTAATCAACATATAAACAATTTAAAAGAAAATAATTGAAGTGTGCTGGTGGTTTCAAAAGGTACACAGTTGTAATACGAACAAAACATAATATAACATTTGGAGGAACTCAGGGCGCGACCAGTCACTTTCGCGACAACAGGAGAATTTTTTTATATTATTCTTAGATATTTAAGATATTTAAATTTACAATTGTATTGCTAGAATTAAATAAATTTTTTGAAATAATATTATTTTTGTATTATTATTGTTGCGATAGCCCTCCGATAGAAGCCTATTACCAATAGCGGCTCTGCAATAGAAACTTAAACATATACAGGAACGCCATAGAGTTGTTCATAGTGAAAAAATGAATGAAGACCAGCTGAAAGCCGTAATTGAGGCTGCCGTTAGTGGTGCTCTTGCCTCACAGAGGCAAATCTTTGAAAAACAATTAGATGAGTTAAGTAAACGTCTAAATAAAGTTACAGTAAATACCCCGGATGTAGAAATCTATGAGGAAACAAGAATAATCAGTGGAATAAAATGTGAAGAATCACTTGACATTGTCAAATCTCTGCCTGACTTTGAGGGCAGGCAAGAAACTTACGTGTCATGGCGACAAGCGGCTCACGTTGCTTATAAATTATTTCAAAACCATAATGGGAGCTCGAAACATTACCAGGCAGTTGCCATTATACGAAATAAAATAAAAGGATCGGCAGACATGGTTTTAGCATCCTTTAACACTGTTCTCAATTTTAAAGCTATAATAGCACGTCTTGACTTCACATACGCTGATAAGCGGCCTATTTACCTCATCGAACAGGAGATGTCTACCCTACGTCAGGGTAACCTGACTCTTTTACAATTCTATGAACAAGTGGAACAAAAATTGACTTTGCTTACCAACAAAGTAATTATGACTTATGATGGAACCTTGGCAGCATCCTTAAATGAAAAATACAGAATGGATGCGTTGCGCATATTTATTTCAGGTACAAAAAGGGCCTTAAGCAACATTCTTTTCTCGGCACAGCCAACCAATTTACCCGCAGCATTAGCTCTGGCACAAGAAGTTGAGGCAAACCATGAGCGTTATAAATTCGCAACCAACTTCGCGAGGAGTCTGGAAGATGAAGCTCACAGAACTGAACAAAGGCTTCAAAATAATGAAAGAAGTATGGGCAGATATAGTCAGGTAAGCAATTACGTTAAAAGTAATCAAGTTGATAATCAAAACAAAAATCCATATTTTGTAAGACAAAATGCTGAAAAAAGACAAGTTGAAAAAATGGACGTAGATCCAACCTCATCTAGGACGAGACACTGGAACAGTGCCAAAACTCAAAGGAGTAATTATAATACGTCAGAGAAATACAACAACACTATTTTCGGGGTTCAATATAAGGACCAAAATATGAAAAGAAGAAATGACTCTGAAAGATTAACAGGGCAAAAAATGCAGAGAGTGAATTTTATGCCACACGAAAGCACTTCTCAAACACAAGAAATGAGGAAATACGAGGAATTAGCCGAAGAATCACTAATAGAAATTGATGACGATGCTGATAGTTTTGACCATGTTAATTTTTTAGTGGAAACTCCCTGCTACCATTCATAGAGCGGAATATTGCAGGGAAAATTATAAAACTGCTGATTGACACCGGTGCGTCAAAGAATTACATTAAACCTCTTAAAGAGTTAAGATATACAAAACCAGTAAGCAACACTTTTATAGTAAAATCAATACATGGTTTTAATGAAATCAAAGGTAAATGCTTCGTGAACCTGTTTAATATTAATAGCACCTTTTTTATATTACCCGATCTTACAAAATTTGATGGAATCATCGGCCTCGATTTGTTAACACAAATCGATGCAAAAATAGATTTTAAAAATAAAAATTTGAAGTATAATACGGGATCAGAACCGATCCAGTTTTTAAAATGTGCGAATGTAAATTTCACTCGAATTGAGGATATTAAAATTTCAGAAAAAGTTAACGAAAAATTTCAAAAATTATTAAAAAGTGAACAAACGGTATTTGCTGATCCTGACGATTTACTTCCGTTCAACACAAATATTGTAGCTACCATTCGAACTGAGTGTGACGACCCCATTTATTCGAAACTATATCCTTATCCTATGGGCGTAGCAGATTTTGTGAATAAAGAAGTGCGTGACTTGCTAAGAAATGGTATAATTAGACCATCTAGATCGCCATACAATAATCCAATATGGGTTGTTGACAAAAAGGGAGTTGATGAACATGGCAACACAAAAAAACGTCTTGTAATTGATTTCAGAAAATTAAATCAAAAAACGATAGACGATAAATATCCCATCCCTAACGTGATGGTGATACTCGCCAACTTAGGAAAAGGAAAATATTTTACAACTCTCGATTTAAAATCTGGCTTTCACCAAATAGTTTTGGCAGAAAGAGATCGCGAGAAAACTGCTTTTTCGGTCAACAGCGGAAAATACGAATTTTGTAGGCTACCATTTGGCTTGAAGAACGCACCCAGCGTATTTCAAAGGACTATTGATGACGTGCTTCGAGACCAAATTGGAAAGACATGTCACGTTTACGTCGACGACGTTATCGTATTCTCAAAAACAGAAGAAGATCACATTAAACACATAGCGTGGGTCTTGAGGAAGTTGAACGAAGCCAATATGAGGATTTCACGGGAGAAGTCCCATTTCTTTAAGGAAAGCGTTGAGTACTTAGGTTTCACGGTAACTGGAGAGGGTATTCGAACAAGCCCAAGTAAAATAGAGGCAATTCGAAACTATACTGAGCCAACGACATTATTTAATGTCAGGTCATTTATGGGCTTAGCGAGCTATTACAGATGCTTTATAAGAAACTTCGCCTCAATAGCCAGGCCACTTACAGATATCTTTAAGGGCGAAAATGGTAGAGTTAGCACTCACCAATCGAAGAAAAAACAAATAGAGCTAAACAACAGTCAGCGTCAAGCTTTCAACAAGCTCAAGAAAATCTTGATGTCGGAAGACGTCTTGCTCCAGCATCCAGATTATGGAAAACCATTCGACCTAACAACGGATGCGTCATCTTTAGGATTAGGCGCTGTACTATCACAAAGCGGGAAGCCGATAACTATGATATCGAGGACCTTGAAAGACAACGAAATGAATTTCGCTACCAATGAAAGGGAATTACTCGCAATTGTTTGGGCTTTAAAGAATCTCAGAAATTATCTATATGGTGTTAAAAATTTAAATATTTTTACTGATCATCAACCTCTGTCGTTTGCGGTTTCAGACCGAAACCCCAACGCGAAAATTAAGCGGTGGAAAGCGTTCATAGATGAACATAATGCCCAAATTCTTTATAAGCCAGGAAAAGAAAACTACGTAG